ACAGATTGGGACCTGGGGACAATGGCCAACTGTGTCCATTGCCCCCTGAATATGTGACAATATTTAAAAGGCATAAACTGTAGTTTCATGAATTTAGATTAAATATAAGGAAGAATGTTTCATCAGTGGTGGACTAAGTCTAGCAGAGATGCTGGGCGTAACCGAGATGATTTAAAAGTGACCTCACAAGAATGTCACACTTGGATAATTAATTAATGTCAGTTTAGATAAAAGTTCTCAGGCCCCAAATTAGAATACCAAAAGGCTATTTATAACTATTAATATTATATCCCAGTGATTACTTGAAGTTTATGAGCTTCTTTTGCTGATTTGTCCCCCTTTCTTTTGTGGCTGTAGTAAGTGGCAATCCAGTTTCAATGGTTCTTTGTTTATACCTACAGGGAACATTAAGGGGTTGTTTCTTAAATCTTCACGCATTAAAAAATTTGTGCACCGTCACACAGGCAAACTTTTAAATAAAAGCATAAAGTAAAATTATTTGAACTAATTTTAGGAGCTAGGAACTATCCACAGTAAGACATTATTTCTGAATTGATAATTGGCATAATTTCCCTTTTCCATTAATGTTGACACGTTTCATTGCAGAAACGCTGTGAAATGTGAAATATGGATACATTTCACTGCTTCAGTGTGAAATACACACAAGGTGCACCTTCTTGTTTTTCTAAAATTTAAAAATTTGCTGTATTCCACAAGTCATCTGAATAAAGGATTTTAGATCTGTAACTTTAGAGGAGAGATAACTTGGGCCATGATGGTAGCACTGGAGATGGTGAAAAATTATTACACTTGAGATATAATTTGATGAGAAGGTTAGGAAGATTTTCTTATAGATTAATAATGGGAAAAGTAATTTAGGATGATTCTATAGGTGAGTCATCCTTAGCAACAGGTGAGGGAGGTACGATATATCACCTAGGGTGGAAAAAGGCTGCGGGTAAAGAGGAGGAACAATTCTGGACATTTTGAGGTTGAGATAATCAATTTTCATCCAACTGGAGGTTAAACAGTTGATATATGAGTCTTTAGAGTTAGGAGAGAAGTCTGGGCTGTAGATGCATTCTTATTTTAATGTTTATCTTCTTAAATTTCTTTTAGAGTATCTTTCCAGTCTTTTTTCAGGGGGGACAATACAGGCACATACAATATAAAGAAAAATTGATTCACAATCTATTCCATTAAAAAAAAACTTCACACCCCATAAACATATACAGTTATTTGTCACCTAAAAATAAATTTAAACTATCTTCAATGTAACCAGCAGTTCTCAACCTGTGGGTTGCAACCCTTCTTTAACAATAAAAACACATTGCGGCATTAGGAAGGCTGAGAACCCCTGAGTAAACCAAAACACAATTTAAGTTGCAGGCTATTTGAAGGAGAAAGGCAAACTGTAGCCATCATTAACATCACCTGAAAATGACGGGAGGTAAATTCCATTGTCTGATCTACGGAGAAGAAAAGGATGGCTTAAGAAGTTGCCAGGCCGGGAGTGAAGAAAACACTCAGTGTAGAAATGGTGTTGAACTGAAATAGTGCTAAGGTTCCTTTCTGCTTTCACAGTGAACAGACATTAGTCACTTGTCCTGAATTAAGAACTGAAAACCCTTCCCTTATTTACAATACGTGCCATAACCCCAAGACAGCAAGTTAAGAAGCGTTTAGAACATCCACGCACGTGCTAAACTTAACCAGCAGCTATTGCTGAAGATGAAATGAGAGTGGACTCTAATTTTTGGCAGGAGTGTGTAAAGGCAGCAGTGCTATCTGTGGCATGCGATGCCCCTGGCACAGGATGAAGGCAATCCCTTCCCAGGGCATGTCTTTAAGTTCACACTCTGAATGCTCTCAAGCATCACTGAAACTCCATATTTCCTCAATTATTTTGATCCTGCATTTTATTGGTGAACTTCCATGCTATTTTTAATTCATATGTATGTTGGTGTGGAGAAGAATAATGGGAATAAAGACAAACTGTTAAAGATGTGATCTATGTTAAAATGTCTTTTTACATCAAATAGCCATATTTTCAAGACTCTTAAGGCAGCAGAATAATGCAAATGCCATATTTGTTTAAGTACCCACGGATAACAATTCCATTGTCTGATCACATTGAGATGAAAAAATAGAAAAGAAAGACAGCGAAGATGGAGAAGGAAGAGAAAATTTTAAAAAATGAATTTCAAAAAATAAACATTATATACAAATGAACTGAATATTTTGAGAGATACCATCTAATTCCCCTAAAAATTATATTTTGTTACCCAGAACATACATAACTACATCAAAAAGTATTCAGTGCCCTCAGAGGAAAGAATCTGAAAGTCACATACGAACAAAAATCAGCTTTAATTTTCTCCTTCAAAAATTACAAACGATGCACTTATGAGAGGGACTTTACCTAAGAAATGCAATCAATGTAACCTGATTCTTTGCATCCTCGATAAATCCCAACAATAAAAAGAAAAGAAAAAAGAAAGAAAAATTAAAAACATTTACCCATGTCAGTATTAGTTTTAACATGGGGGAATGAGAAAAGGAAAAATGGGAGAGGGAAGAGTGAGCGCCAAGGGCAGCTGAGAGTAAGCAAAGGGAAAGGGAACAAATGAACACAAGGAACAGATGCAAAGTGTAAACATGCAAGGTCTGGTCTGCTCAGAAGGCGACCTTTTCCTTCTCTGAACCTTGCTTCCCTTCCAATATCCCTATCTCCATCGGTGGTACCACCCTTCATGCTTTAGCGGTCATCTGCTGAAAATCTGGGCGTCTTTAACCTAATCTAGCCCAGTCTGGATCTGCTCAGCAGCTTCCAGCCACGGCAGGGGGTGGCTGCCCTGCATCCCTCACCTCTCCTCACCGGGCCTCCAGTTTGCAGCAGAGGCCACGCTGTCTCCGACTTCTGTGCTGTGTGGTGCTGCTGCTGTTAACTCTGATGCCTCCGTCTCCTCACCGCCTTTGCCCCATTTCACTCAGGAAGCTCACCCCGAATAGTCCCCTACCCAAATGTTGACTAGGTACCCCTTCTCTTTACTCTCATGATGTCCTACATGAACCTCTTTTACTAACATAGTACCACAGTTACCTCCTGGGCCCGTCTTTCCCACAGATTGTGTGACCTTTTCTGTTCTATCTCTGTAAACCTAATGGCTAATATGAGGCCTACCTGATGCTCTAAGTCAGTGTTTTTCAACCTTTTTTTATCTCACAGCAGCCTTGAACCTATAGTTAAAACTTCCGTGGCACACTTAAATAATGTTGATCAAAAGAATATACTTACTATACTTTGAACTTGTTTTGAAAATAATACAATTCATGATCTCTAAAAATTTTCGCAGGACACCTAAAATCCTCTCGCACACCACTTGAAAATTACTGCTCTAAAAGCACCATAAAATGTTCCCTGGCTGAATGAGCAAACAGGTTAACAGTGAAATGGCATCGCCTATAGTAAGTTCCCTTCTCTGAGAGTTTTCAAGTAAATCCAACTGTATTAGGAGAATTCCTATGCTGGATTCGAGCTGTGATCTATCATATTACTTTGTGATACGTGTGCATTCCTTCCATTTCTACAATTTTCTTTCCTACTTGCCCAATCACTGACTTCGTACAGCTCTTTATAATATCTGCCAATAGGGCTATGTATATAAGCCTTTATACAGCTAATTCTTTTTGTGAGTTTGATTCATATTCAGGGCCTAGCCTGTGGTTGAAACATCACCTATTAAACACGTGCTAACACGTATATGACTTACTGAACACATCTCCTCTGGGTTTCTGAGGATCTGTCTG